CCTAATTGAGTTCTTAATAAATGAATTAATGAGATTAATTTATTCGTGCATAAATTAATATAATCCATAGAGTATCTCAAAGGTTTTGTGAAAATTTTTGTTAGACACGATCCGCTCCCCCCACGCTTCCGCATCCGAATTCGATTCGGATACCTACAGAAAGAATCAGGTGCATGCTTTCTCACGCAAAGCTTCCTAAGTCCTTTTGGGGGGGAGGCCATGAGAACTGTAGTCGACTTGATTAATCTTTCTCCAACAGCTGCCTAGGATGATGATGTTCCAAATAGAGTTTGGACTGGGAAAGATGTCTCTTATGATTACTTGAGAGTTTTTGGCTGCAAGGCGTTCGTTCATATTCCTAAAGATGAGAGATCCAAGCTTAATGATAAGGCGAAACCGTGTATTTTCTTAGGCTATGGCCACGAGGAGTTTGGGTACAGATTATGGGATCCGGTGAACAAGAAAATTGTCAGAAGTAGAGATGTTGTCTTCCTTGAAGATTAAGTGATTGATGATGGTACCAAGGGTGAAAAGTCTTGTTCCTCTGCTGAAACTCCTGTCAATTTGGATCCAATTTCTCCACCTGTAGAGAATATTGATCAAGCGGGAGATGTCCAAGAAGATGGTGGTGATGCTGTTAATGATGAAGCACCTCCAATTGATGATGTAGAGCCAGTTGACCAAGTTGAACAAGCACCGCCAGCACCACCAGTTGAGTCTCAGGTGAGAAGATCTATAAGAGAGTGTCGTCTGCCTAGTCAATACACTACTAATGAGTATGTGATGCTCACTGATGGGGGAGAGCCAAAAACTTACCAAGAAGCTGGTTCATATGAGAAGAAGCAAGAGTGGTTTAAAGCCATGCAATGAGAGATGAGATCCTTGTGTGAGAACCACACTTATGACTTGGTGAAGTTACGTAAAGGCAAGAAAGCGCTCAAGAACAAGTGGGTTTACAGGTTGAAAACTGAGAACAATAGCTCTCAACTAAGGTACAAGGCAAGGTTAGTTGTGAAGGGGTTCGTCAGAAGAAAGGTGTCGACTTTGAAGAAATATTTTCTCTTGTTGTGAAGATGTCATCCATCAGAGTTGTTCTTAGTCTAGGTGCCTGCTTGAATTTAGAGGTAGAGCAACTTGATGTGAAAACTGCGTTTCTTCACGGTGACTTAGAAGAGGAAATTTTTAGGGAGCAACCAGAAGGGTTCAAAGTCAAGGGAAAGAGCATCTTGTGTGCAAGTTGAGGAAGAGCTTGTATGGGCTCAAACAAGCACCAAGATAGTGGTACCAAAAGTTTGACTCTTTCATGATGAGTCACAAGTACACTAGGACTTCATCTGACCATTGTGTGTTCATTAAGAAACACTCCAGTGATGATTTCATCATCCTTCTACTATATGTTGATGATATGTTGATCGTTGGCCATGATGCTAGCAAGATTGAGAAGCTAAGAGAGAGTTAAGCAAGTCCTTTGCCATGAAAGACTTGGGATCGGCGAAACAAATACTTGGTATGAAGATCTCCCGTGATAGGAAGAATGGGAAGTTATGATTATCTCAAGAAAGGTACATTGAAAAGGTTCTTGAAAGATTCAATATAAGCAAGACCAAGGCTGTTTGTTCTCCACTTGTAGGTCACTTCAAGCTTACAGTTAAACAATGTCCTACAAGTGAGAAAGAAAGAGAGGAAATGAGCAAAGTGTCATATGCCTCTGCAATTGGCAGTTTGATGTATGTCATGGTTTGTACAAGGCCAGATATTGCTCATGCAGTTGGAGTTGTTAGCAGATTTCTCTCTAATCCTGGAAAAGAACACTAGGCAGCAGTAAAATGGATATTGAGATATCTGAGAGGTACTTCTTGGGTGTGTTTATGCTTTGGCAGTGGTGAACCTATTTTAGATGGGTACACAGATTCAGACATTGCAGGTGACATTGATTCCAGGAAGCCTATTTAGGGATTCCTAATGAATTTTGCAAGGGGAGCAGTCTCTTGGCAATCCAAACTACAAAAGTATGTCGCTCTATCCACCACAGAAGCTGAGTACATAGCAATTACTGAAGGTTGCAAGGAAGCTTTGTGGATGAAGAGGTTTCTTGAAGAACTAGGCATGCAACAAGAGAACTGTATTGTCTACAACGACAGTCAGAGTGCCATCCACCTCTCCAGGAATTCAACATTCCATTCGAGATCCAAACATATTGATGTTAGATATCACTGGATTCGTGATGTGCATGAAGGAAAGCAGTTACACTTAGAGAAGATCCACACCAGTGAGAATGGATCAGATATGTTGACGAAGACTTTGCCTAAGGAGAAACTTGAAGCTTGTAAGCAGAGAGCAGGCTTAGTTGAGCCCACCAAATGATGCGGAGGGGGAGTTTGTTGAGTTCCGCCCCATTTGTGGGCTAGAACAAGTAATGGGCTTTAAGCCCAAATGCCAATGAAAAAAAAAATAAAGAAGCTTGCTCTAGCAAGCTTAACTCACGTGCAGGCATTAACAAAAGAAAGAGAAGGCTGCCGTGAGTTACAGTAGAGAGAAAACCAGAGAAAGAGAAGGGAAGAAAAGGAGAGAGAGAAAGAGAAAAAGAGTAGGATTTTGGTGCTTATGCAAGACGATTGGGTGGCGAAACGTTGTCGGTTTCGGCTCAAATTTGACGTGGAGAATCCTTGTGGCGAGCTCTTCCAATCTACCGGACTTGATTTCTCATTTAGCCTCTCTTTAGTACTCTCTTGAGTACTCCTAATTTGGTGAGACTTAAGTTTTTCTTTGGTGTTATTGTTATTATTCATCTTTGATGATGATGTCTATATTGTTAGTAAACCAAAAATAGTGTTTATTGATGATATTATTGTTGTAAGCCTCTAGTTTGATTCTAGAGAGAAACTTTGTAATCTCATTGTTAATATAGTGGAAGAAATTTAAGTAGCCTAAGGGTCTCGTGGTTTTTACTCTCAATTTGAGAGGTTTTTCACGCTAAAAATTGGTGTTTCACTTGTGGTTGATTATTTTAATTAATTGGCTCATTGGTTGTTTAGCTTTGTTGACATTTTGTTTGAGATCCTATTTTAGCACACAAAGAGAAAAAGTTTTATTCCGCAATTGTTAGTATTAGTTTTTCCAACACTCAAAAGAGACACAAACTCCTGATACAACAGATTATTCATCAACAAATCATTTTCATTAATTCAGGTTCGGATTATTTTTGCTTCTACTCCATTCCGAGTTTAATTCACAGTACTACACCACATGAAGTCAACATTGAGGTTTTATCTAAGAATGTTGAGTAATATTACCTTCGATCACTCTTTGCATTGACCATGGACGAGAAAGCTTAAGTCCTCAACATGAATCGGCTTTTGTTAATTTCTAAAGAGTCGTGGGCTGATTTGGGCGATGCAGAAGATCATGATGAAAAATCAGTAGAGAAATAGACATAGCGCGGTCTTATGATATTTCGTACACTCATCCACGTTACATGCATCTAATTATATAAGATTAAAACGTTTTATACCATAGTGTAAAAGAATATTTCTTCAATGAACCAGCCCTAGCTAGGGCCTCTTTTTTTCCTCTTCTTCTATTCTCACTTTTGACGATCCTTCTCACCAATGAGAAAGATTCTTATAGGGATTTCTCTTTCCGATAAGATTTCTTCGTTTTCTATTAGAATTCCACATTAGCTGAAAATATTGGCATGATTCACTTAATAAGGTGAGGGCAATCCTTCATTAACAAGCCGGTTTTGTTAGGTTGAATTAGGCCAAATATCCTTTGATTTTTGTAAAATAGTATCAGAGCAGGCCCAGTTTTACAATGTTGAGTCTCCCAATATCAACTTATTTGCAACAGTTTGACATGGTCTACGCTGTGCGTGAGGGGGCGTATTAGAATCTCACATTAGCATGATCCACTTAATAAGGTGAGGGCAATCCTCCTTTAACAAACCGGTTTTATTAGGTTGAGTTAAGCTCAATATCCTTTGATTTTTGTAAAATTTTCTTTTCTTTCTCTTATAGCTGTAGCATTTTCATAATGAATTAAAATAATTATCCATTCGGATCTCATTCTATAGTTGTGAGTTGGTGATAAGTTGAAATTTACTCAGATCTTAATCTGTTGTGGTAATTTGTTTAAATTTCTTTTCATTTTGTGATGTTATTGTGTGATTTTTGTTGGATCTGTATCTTTTTAAATGTCACATCAAGAAGATTTTAGGCGGTTAAAGATCGAGGTTAACAATAAGTTTATTATCTTATTAATCAGGAAAGCCTACACTGGATCATGCAGAGGGCTATCTGAAAGAGCTAAAAATTTATTTCTTGTATGGAAGCTCAATTGTGTCTTTTGCGGAGTTACGTGCCCAACAACTGAAAAAAGCACACGAAAAACGCCTTCTTGTGTGTTTTTTTTTAAATTTGTTTATTTATAGAAACAATAATTGAACTATTAAGATAAATAACTTGTTATATTAGTCTTGATTTTTTTGTCCAAGATTTACAATAAATATTTGTTTAATCTGATTGAAATTGCCGGCTTATATAAAATTGTAGCAAACAAATTAATGAAAATAGAAACAACTGTATACACTTTCCAGAGAGGTAATGAGTTCTATGTAGAATATATCTAAGATATATGTTATCGAGTGTCAAACGGGTTGTCATCTATTTGACCGTGTGCAAGCCACCAAAGGAGATGTGGGGCCTGTGTTTCCAATTGAGATTTTTTTTTTCTGGCTTTCGTTCCTTCTCCCTTCTCTATTTTCTTTTTTTTTTCCATTAAAAAAAAAAACTAACTTTTTGTAAACAACTAATATGGAGTTTCCTGTTTCCTTTTTTTGTTTTTAAATTACCTTGTGTAGAATATATTTAGTGAGGGACTCATTTCTATCAAAATTTTTTCTAGTAGTATGGCATAAATGAGAGTTATTACTAACACAAGGCCCAACTTATGTGTCTCTATACAACAATTATAAATATCATAACCAAGTTGAAAACAGTTCTTCCCTTCATAAAGATCTTCTTCCTCTAGTATAAACTCATCCATTTCATTTCTCTACTCACCTTTTCAAAAGTTGAATATGAGCGGAAAAATTCGAAGGAGTTTCGGTAACCGATCGAGAAAGTCGCATTTCGGTTTCGGAGTTGCTTCTTGGAATCTCTTATTTCACATACTAGTTGTTCTGGTAAACTATAAACTTTCTTGATCGTTCTTTTAGTACTCTCTTATCCCTTTTTGTTCTTTTAAAGTTGGAATTTTAGTATGTATATCCAGATTTATGCTACTGATCTCTCTTCTTTTTATTTTCTTTTTCTTTTTCTTTTTTTGCAGCTTGTTGATGGTAGTGAATCTAGGAAGATGAGTGAAAAATATAACAATTACTTGCAGCTCCCAATCAATAATGATGAGATCAAAAAAGGGGTGTGTCAAAGAGACCCTTCCCAAATGATTTTCTTCACTTTGAAGGACATGAAATTGGGGCAAAAAATACCTATTTACTTTCCCAAGAAAGACCCTTCAAGTTCTCCTCACTTGTTGGCCAGATATGAAGCTTCTTCAATTCCATTCTCATCGAAAGAGCTCCCTAACCTTCTCAACTTCTTCTCTTTCTCTCAAGACTCTCCACAAGCCAAAGCCGTGGAGAGCACTCTAAGCTTGTGTGAGATTGAGCCCATCAAAGGGGAGACCAAATTCTGTGCTACGTCCTTGGAATCCATGCTCGATTTCGTACGTGGCGCGTTCGGGTTGGAGGAGAGTTTCAGTGTTGTAACAACTACCTTCTTGACCAAGTCAAGTACAACTTTCCAAAACTACACTATATTTGATGTGCCTAAGGAGATATTGGCTCCCAAGATGGTGGCATGTCACACCATGCCTTACCCCTATGCAGTATACTATTGCCATTACCAGGAGAGTGAGAACAAAGTGTACAAAATCTCATTAGGGGGTGAAAATGGAGATAAAGTTGAAGCTGTTGCCGTTTGTCACATGGATACCTCGCATTGGAGCCGCGATCACGTGTCGTTCCGTGTGCTTAGGATCAAACCGGGGACTTTTCCCGTGTGTCACTTCTTCCCGGCCGATCATCTTGTTTGGGTTCCTACACCTAGTACCAAGTGACTTTTTTGAGTCACATAGTACTACTATGTGTGTATTGCCTAAGGACCAATGCAGTGTTAATGTATGTGAAAAGGATTATGAATGCTAAAATTATGTTCTGGAGTTTGTATTTAGCTTAGGAAGAAGCCAATGTTGATGTTTTATGAATTTCTGTATGCAAGAAAAACAAAGTCTCAATGAGGGTTTTTTTTTTTTTTTTTTCTTTGGTGAATTCTCAATGAGGTTTTAACCGTGCCGAGTTCTCTGTTTTCTCAAGAATATCCTCTGTTATGAACATTTCAAGAGATATTGGTTTAAATACGGACTTTTATCCCCATATTATGTTGCAATTTGGAGAAACCCTTTTCCGCCAAGACAAAGTTGCAATGGAATATTCCAAGAGTTTTCTTAATATATGTTATTTAAAATCAGCAAGAGAATTTGAAATTTGTGAATAGTTGATTCTTTTGTATCAAACACTTTATGCTTGTAGTATTTAGCTAACCCAAGCATCTCCTTTCATAGGTCCTCACTAGTCGTTACTTGGGGAGTGAAAATCAAAACAATAGACTTCTTTTATGCTTTCCCCCGTTCTCTCCCATTCTCCATCTTGTTGGACACCCGCGTGTACCTACAAAAGATACTCTAAGGCTCAAGTCAAATCAACAGTAGAGAATAGAGACTAATATCAGAATTTTGATAACAGGAAAAAAGATGAAAATATGATTATTATTGTCTCCAATGTATAGAGAAAGTGGTAACTTAAGAGTCTGATTGGTCGCGTTCATCAATTCGTTATGATTCGAAATATTTATGAATTTTTCTAATAGAAATGAAAGGAACAAAATTCCATGATATTTCTTCTAAAACATCAGCACACGTCATGTTTTGATTAGTTAGTTACTCAAGGTTAGACCTAATTAAATCTATAGTTTTAATCCCTAAACACGCTCGATCATCCTCTTTGATCCCCCTATGAATTGGAGGTCAACCCTCGAGATGTAGAGATGTCAATGTATCTCGATGCTACTCTCGAGTTAATTTCGATCCATATATATAGTTGGCAGTTGACCCTTGAGACATATACGTGTCAATTTCATCTCCAGGATACCCTCTACTTAAGACGTCTTAGGGTTATTTAGGGGCCTTGAGAGGGACACGTGTCACATATTCGACCCCTTGCTGAAAATCCATTGATGCCTTGTTTTTATTTTTTATTTTCCATGTGTTGGAATGAGAAAAAGGGTTTCATACATTACATTGTTGCCGGTAAAGACATAAACATATGAAAAACTGATTTTTATCATTTTGTTTTTTTAAGTTTATAAATGTACTGTGAGAATTGGTCAAATTTCTGAGCTTTGCAAGTGTATTTGTGTCGATGATATGCATAGGGGTATTGGACAGCACAACAAGTCACTAGATCAGCCAAAACAAGCAACTAAGAACACGATGAGGAGTTGACTTCTTAAGAGTGGATAGAAAGATATGGCCCTTCACCCACTAACATATCAAGACATGTAAATAATACCCCTACAATCAGAACAAAATAATAACAATAATTATTTGATTTTTTTTCTTCTCTCTCTCTCTCTCTCTTTTTTATGATGCCGGTCAAAGCCAAAGCTGATCCATGTCCTGCCATCGTGTCCTTCTCGAATAGTTGACTTTTGCATTCAGAGTACCTCACCATGACAACTAAATAGAAACTTATTTGAAATTTAAGTTTTTCTTTGCATGTGACGCGCATATCCACTTTTCCTGGCTGTTCTTTGAGCAATTGGGTTATGTTACGGATGCGGATTAAGCCTCATAATCCTTTGTTGACGAAAGCAATAAGATAAGCGAAAAGTAAACGAGCACACACACTATTTACAGTAGTAATATGTACTTTCTTTAGTCACTATAGAATTTCACTAGAATAAAAGAGAAAATTACAAGAGCATTACGCATCTTTCACCTCTCAAAATATCCCTTTTTTTTAAATCCTGACCTAATTCCAAAATCGATCCACGTGCTAATTCTGTATCAGGACAATAATTAAGTTCTGCATAATTCGCGTTTTGAACAAAGAATCCTCTTCTATCTTCATGGTATGACTGAACTTGACAAAGAACAGTTAGTGATCTATTTCTGCAATTTTTTTTGGCAACTACAGTAGTATTTTTCCGACCGAGTTCCAAGGCTTTTTTTTAGCGTGATTGAGGTTGGAAAACTATAAGGGCCAAAACAAAAATCACGAGTAAATGCCCTCAAGAAGAAGTTAATCATATGAGGATGTTAGTTCAGAAGTATTTTCTATCTCATGAAAAATTTTGTCCCTCGGAAAACTTCATTACGCTTTGCATAATTTTCATCTTGAATGATGATATAGTTACACAAATCCATGAAAGGAATAGTCATCTTGAACGGCGATTTTTGTGCACATCGGTCAATGACAGGAGGCGATTGAGCTAGATTGCATAGGATCATGCTTATAGCGTAATCATCTGCCAAACCAACTTCATTTTGTGCATATATTTATGATACATAATTTGTATAAATTTTGTGGTTCTTAGTCAATTCATAGCAGTCTACTAGAGCTTTTAACGTGAGAAAATCAATGGTGTAGCAAGCAATATTCATATTATACAATATTCAAATCCTGCACAGAATCTCATATCTCTTATCATTAAAATTCCTTCTTGGTAATTAATTCGTCTTCAAAGTACATTAAAAAAATGGTTTTGTTTTTCTACAACATAGATCCAAAACCATGCAGTACAATATACAAAAAGAACCTTCAAGATACAACTCAAACATAATACCAAATACCAAATTAACTTCCCTTTGGATAAAAAGATCATTCAGAGTTACAACTGCCTTACAAATATCAAGCTTGAAAATAAAATAAAAAAGAGAGAAAGAGAGATGAAGAGAAAAGAAATTCCAAGCACAACCTATAAAATACTAAATCACAAAAATACAACTAGATACAAAATATGGTAACAAACATGATCATCAGCCCTCTGCTTCAAATTTTGTCTAATATGTTATAATAGAGAAATCATGTATACATATATATTAGTTATATATATATATATAGAAATATATATGAGCCTGATTCAGTCAGGGCTGATTTTCTTAATGAGTTTCTTCAAGCTCTTCATGATGATGATTATGAACTGAAGGTTTATGATTATCCTCTCCTTGAGGCTGGGCGTGGCTGTGGTATATGATGACATTAGGTTGAACATCGAAGTCCCGAACAAAGCGATCATGTTTTGTTGGACCGGTGAGATCAGACGGCAGATCTTGATCATAGAAAAGATCTCTGATTGCTTCTGGGATTGGTTGGTCTTTCATTATGCTATTCCAGTACTCTCCCGCGTCTTTTCTTGCATAGCTAATGTTTCCCACCTGTAATTTTCAGGAAAAATAAATGTATATATGAAGTTGTTATTTGCAAATATTTGAAAGAATTTTCACAACCAATATGGGACTTTGGATAATCCAAGCGAACCCTTTTGTTCTCCTGGTAGATCTTTTCACACTAAAAAAAAAAAAGAAAAAAAAAGAAAAAATGCAAAAGAAGTTCTGAAAAGAAGAGGAAATTAACTAAGTATACAACTTTTTTTTTTTTTTTTTTGTTTTTGGTGGGAAAGGCTTACCAAGAGAATAGAGAAGAGAACGAAGAATGCAAAGATGGACTTCATGTTATTTTCTAACTTAGTGAAACGATTTTAGATTTGTTGGTTGGAATGATGTTCTCAAAACTCTGACTGTTGGCAGCTTTTATAGGCCAAAATCATATATGGTTTTTTATAGATTAATATTTAATTAATGTACAAAACCTGTGACCCCAACAGAATAAAAAGCTTTTCATTGTCCAAAAGAGAGAAAAAAAAAAGATTATTAATAGTTCTCAACATTTCCTTTAGATTTTGTCCACTAAATTAAAGTGCAAAGTTTTCTAGTACTTTTATACAGAACATGAATTGATTTTTAACCGAATGCGAATCTTCATCTACCATGATTTGGACATGTATTTTTCCTTCATCATGTGGGATTCATAAAGACTTTCTTTTTTATGGATTTACAGCATATGAAACTTAACAACGTTATTAGCCCATTCATTTTGCAGATTCAAATCACAGTTCAAAATATGAATTACGAAGTATATATCATTTGCAGTTTGCAAAAATCTATATTATGCATACTGATAAATCATATATGATTCATTAAAAAATTCTTATCTATATATGGCTTCTATAAAGATTGACACATAATCATTTTTATTTATAGTTTGAATATTACCAATTGGTACCATCTTTTCTTCTTTTAATTTCTTCTATCACCAACGATCCATATGCTGTTTCAAGTTAAAATTTAGAGGGATTTCAATTTTAATTTCAATTTATGCCGATGGTACTTAGAGGCATAATTTAGGTGACCTTTTTTTTGTACAAATTAAGGGAATTTTTGCCTTTGTATTCCACTCCAATTTCTATCCACCCCAAACTATTACTCGAGATATATAATTAAGAAATTTCATCAATTTACACATCTCGGGTACGATTAGGATAACAAATTAACCAAAAAAAAAAAAAACACCAATTTATTATTTATTTGAATCTTTATTTTATTTAACAAAAACAAATATTACAAATGGTAAAGACCGGTGGAAATATCAGTCGACATAAGAAAGAGTAATAAACAAAACAGTCAAATTATTACTTATATTAAACAAATTTTTTTGTGCACTCTGTCCATTTTTAATTGTCGTGCACATGTCTCTGCAAATAAGATAAATTTTTAAGCTCCACAAGAAATCAATCTCCGTCTCTTCAAAATGCGTCCTTCCTCGAGCGTAGTTTGTTCTTATTATACTTGCGGATGTTGTCAATATCGATCTACATCGCCTAAAATCTTTTAAATCTGGCACTTAAATATTACAGATCTTACAACAAACCACACTAAAGCAAATAAAAACGATAAACCTAAAAACCTTAATCAGATTAAGATCTGAGTAAACCTGTTTTTTTTTCTTTTTACCTTAATCATATTAAAAAGTTTTTCATTGACCTTCAAGATCAATTGGTACCAACACTTGACTTAAGAATTTTATACGAAAAAAGGTATTGGGTTTAAGTATTGGGGGACGTGAAGAAATTTCTGAGGGCCGTTAGTTGCCTAAAAGAGACACTACGTATGACTAATGAGTAGAAAATCTGACTATGTTAAGAATCTCGCAAAGTAAACCCCATAGGAGTTTAGGTGTTACAAAACTGTACACATCATGATCACTATATAATGAGATCTAGCAAACTTATACACTTATGCATTATGGAAATACTATAAAAAAAAAACGAAAAAAAAGGACAAGGACAAGACGATCCCACCGGCGAGAGATTCTTAGGGATCTTCCTTTTTAATTGTGAAGACCGTCAAAATTTGGGATTAAGACAATAATAAGAAGGGAAAAAAAAAAGAAAAAAAAAAAGTGGAGAGTAGAAGGCCGGCTACTAATTTAAGATTTTCGATCATTTAAATAACGCCTTGGAGTACAAATGTTTATATTCAACAATAAAAGATCTCACAGGAAGAAAAAAAAAGTACGTACCAATATAGGTTTCGTTCATTTTACTGATTTGAGTTTAGAATTCAAGTTTTACTACAGTAAAAAGTTCTCAGAAACAGTTATATCTAACTTTTTTGCTATAATAAAAAACTCTTACATAAAATCACATCTTAACTCGAATTAAAAACTCGAATCAACGAACTAAACAGGCTCATAGTATATTTCTCTTTTTGAGAAAATTACTGATGTATGAGTCTGAATTTTTACTCATCACTTTTAATTAATACAATTATTTAACTAAAGAGTATATTAATAAAAAAAAGAAATAAAAATTCATATTTATATATTTTAAAGAGTATTTGTCTCGTTTTTTCGTGCTTTGTTTTAAAGTTATTTTACTCTTATGTTTTCTCACTTTGCTATGATGACCAAAGTATCATATCTTATAGTGTTTGACTAGTAATTTTTAGGCACAGATGAGTGGGTAAAATATTATTGCCAGTAGTCACCCGCCAGCAGCAGCGCCAGAGTTGGCTAGTGCGTGACCGCCGGCGTTGTGCCCACTTAGTGGGAGACTGCGAGTCACCCACTGATACCGTTTGCTTATAATTAAAAAGTCAAAAACAAATGAAAGAATATTGTACTTCTCACTAAGGGAGAAAAAAAAAAACGAATAAGATAAATTCGTGTCTCACGTGGTTTAAATATGATAGTAATCCTAGAAATAATCACAAAATGTGTACTTCAAAAGTCTTGTGTGTAAACACTAATCTATAAGTACATTTGATCACTTCTCTTAATAGCTAGGTTGGTCTTCTAACAAAAACCGAGAGTCCAATTTGTACGTGGCATTAGAGAGTTGATCACTATGTAAAGAGTAAAATAAACTGGAATCTTAGTCCTTAGAAAAATATAGAAATGTCACTCAAAAAATGTCATCTTTATATCTATGCAACTCGAAAGACATAAAATTAACATCTATGCCACTTAATTCATCAAAAATATCATGGTATCTTGTGAGATTATTTTTTCTTTTTGACAAAGATGATTGAACACCTTCAGAGAGTATTTTTGTAGAATATTCTTATGTTCTACCATAATATTTAAAAAAAAAAAAATCAACGAAGATAACATAAATATAAAGTTGTTGAATTTTAGTGGTATAATACATAACTTTCTCTTAAAACCCTTTAAAAAAATACCGGTCCAAAAGAAATTGGATAAAAATGTAAGTTCAGTGTTCAGTATCAGTCTCTTCTTTTTCTTCACAACAAAAGTAACTTGTTATGAATTCAAATCTCCACACTACTATTTCAAAAGAAAAAAAAAAAAAAAATCTCTGCTACACTATCCTCTTGTGTTCCAAAAATAGATATTCATTTATTCTAATCATAAAACATGATTACATTAATTTTGAAAAGCAAGGACGTTTAATTAGTTAGTTGGTGGGAAAACTTATAATTAAAAAATGTGTGGTGTGGAGATCAGTAGTTGAATCAACTGATATTCGTCGTTTAAATCAATTTGTTGAAAACTTATAGCATCACATCAGAATAAACTCTGCTGGACAAATACTCATTAAATATTTATTCTAAATATTTCAAATACTATTTTTAAGTTAGGTGGAATAACTGAGACATTAATCTATAGGATATCCATGTATCATGTGTGATGTGTATATGTAGTGTACATATTTGTTTCCATCAGAGAATCAGACTTAATTGTTAAGAAAATATCCCTTATGGCCGCTTAATTAGAATATATTATATGTACATAGAAATTCCTTTTTCCGTTATATACCAAAGTCTACCCACTGAATCAAATTAAGAAAAAAAATTAAAGGTCTATACATACATACATATACATATATCTATATATAAATATAAATATATATATATATATTCGTGAAGACAATTATCAGCCCAAACATTAAGCACACAATTTGGCGTAATTGACGAGGAAAACTTTTTGGCGTAAATGTTATATATCTATAAGTATATATTATTAGCACTTTTTCTTATTATTATAACTTAAATATTCATGTCTATATAAAAACAAATGCCAATACTTAAGAATTAATATAGCTATTTAAGAGGAAAACCAAACGTGTTTTAAGTTGACTTACAGACTGCTTTTTTTTTTCTCTCTCTTTCTAAGAAATAAAAAAAAAGGGAATATTCATTAATCACACGTTTATTAGAAGGGCCTACACTTGAGTCGTGTTTTTTTTTCCCCCCTTTTTTTTGTCTTCTATATAGGTATGTGCATTGAGATCTATGCATTAATTTATAAAAGGCGGTTTATGTAACGATCGAGTAGTTATTATATCTTCAATTATTGTTCTTTCTATATAGGCTAGCTAGGGACGGCGTTATACAAGTGATCATGAATATTGTTCTATCAAGTATAGTCATGGTAATGGTACTCGAGAAACAAATGGCGTATGGAGATGGTACTCGAGAAACAAATGGCGCAAACAAATGAACATTGTTATCCAAAACCAGTTATGTTTTTCATATATTTTATATATGTCTCACACAAATCAACAATAAAAAAAATATATATGGGATATACATATGTATATATGACCACCCTCTTGTACATGTGGTTATACAAGCTAGAGGTTTTTTTTTTTTTTTTAAGAGAAATTTCATTTATACTAATTAAAGTAGTGTAAGGCATAATCCTTAATTGAGATTGGTTCTACCGGTATAGTTCAATTATGCTTAATGGATAAAATGTATGCTAGAGGCCTAAAAATAAAAAGTATCTCGGCACACTATGAACGAGCTCATATAAGATTCTTTTTTATTAAAACCCTACAATCGATAGAAAATTTCGATCGATTAAGAGCCACAACAATGTGGCACAAAGGTCACTACATAGACTTCATATTAGAGAACAAACTAAAGACTGAAAATGTGGGGAGATCACCTCCATTATTACAACGGAAAAACAATAAATAAACTTAAACGATAAAAATATCACCGTTTTTATTTAACAAATACAGAACTTAAAACAAATGACGACGACAAAAACTATGGTGATAATAAGTTGACCACCGTTGAGAATGAGCGAGGAAGCCGCAACACTGCTGGTGAAAAAAAAGGAGATCGGAAAAGTATATATATAGCTAGCTGTTAAATCATTACAAGGAGTATATATAGC